GAAGCTGCTCTGCTGGAAAAACAAATAACAATGTTCAAGCTTTCGGAGGCAGTCCACAGTATGGCTACTGGAAAATGCCCGGGCCTTGATGACCTGCTGGTCGAATTCTATCTTCGATTCTGGAATCTCATCGCACCAGATCTTCTCAGAGTTTTCAACAATATCTTAGCAGATCACCCCCTCAGTCCCCGAACAGCGGAAGGTATCATTACCCTCCTCTATAAGAAAGGAGACAAAACCGATGTGAGGAACTATCATCCCATTTCCCTTCTCAATATTCACGGCAAGATTATTGCTAAAGTACTGACCTGCCGTATCAATCCCCTTCTTCACAAATTAGTACACCTGGATCAATCCGGCTTCGTGCCTGGGCGACAGGTTCTGGACAATGTAATGACCATCTCACAATCTATTGACTGGATCAAGCAAAAAAGATTGAACAAAGCGGTGATTTTGATCGACTTTCAAAAAGCATACGACCGTGTCAACTGGGACTTCGTACAGGCTATCCTGGAGCGAGTGGGAGTCGGTAAGAACTTCAGGAAATTCGTGGGAGCCCTATATGGTGCATCATCTAGTAGAGTCCTCGTAAATGGACACCCCTCCGCCGCCTTTCGAGTAACCTGTTCTCTTCGACAAGGTTGCCCACTAGCACCATCCTTATTTGTTATCCAATTGGAGGTGCTCCTGAACCTGGTCCGCAACCATCCAGAGTATGAGGGACCCCAGATTTCTCCTAACTATTATGTTAAAGTCTCCTCTCTGACGGATGACTTCTCTAGCATATGTGAAAACTCAGTTTCCTCACTCACAGCTCTCGAACAATGTCTGTCGGCATACGAAACAGCCTCCGAAATGAGGGTGAGTTGGCAAAAGTCGATAGCCCTCACGCCAGATGGCTGCCCCTTGGTAGTAGACCTCGGTATCACGGTAAAAGAAAGCATGACTTCAGAACGGTACCTCGGGATCCAAATCTCCTTGGGGGACCCCTCCGCGGTGCAAGCGTCCATAATAGAGAATACTATTCGTGATGCCCGTTCATCATGCAGTGGTCGAAAACACAGTTTCTCTCCCTTTTGGGTAAAGCAATGGTTATTTATACGTTCATCTCCTCCAAAATATGGTACATTCCCCTGTCGCTTGAATCAGCAACTAATATAAGACGATTACTCACCAGATTTTTGTGGAAAGGGAACTCGGAAGCTGACTCAGCCCTTAGTAAAGTAAGCTGGAAAAAAAACACAGAAAAAAGGAAAGCTGGCGGCCTGGGTATATTAGACCGTGCCTCCCAAATCCGAGCCTTGCTAGCCAAGTGGCCAGTAAGGGCTCTGACTACAGAAGAACAATAACCCTGGATAATCATAACACAACACTACCTAGCGGGACAGTGGCACTTCTCTAACCACGAGGCTGTCTGCTATGCCTTACTGATGCGCCCCTTTACCTCCAAACTCAACGTGATACCTGGAGTGGGATCCTTAAGGAATGGAGCAAGATGCTCCCCCAACTCCTCGAAGAACCATCGACCAAAATGGAAATACTTAACACATGCTTTCTGGAGAACACAGCAATCAGGGCAAGCACTGGACTCCCGTTCTCGGTAGCCAAGAGTTCTGGTAATTTCGGCCTGAAATGGATACAAAGGGGAGTTTGGTTGATCCGTCATATCTGGTGCGAGGAACGTAACAGATGGAAAACAGCTGCAGAACTCCGCTCACAGCTGGCAGGACTTCGAAATACAGAGACCAATCTGAAGAATATCATACAGGCAATTCCGACAAACTGGGTGCAGATCCTCTCTCAGCCATCCGGCATATTCAGAGAACAGCAATGGTTCAAGCCCTCAGTCCCACCGAACATCTACTACAAAGTCGACAAGGTCAATGAAGATGGTTTGTATGAGGTCTCAGAATGGAAACACGAAGAATCCAGACTAGAGCAAGTCAAAGAGGCGGCACCCACAAACCTGACAGGGATGCAAGAAGTCCAAGTGCAAGAGGAGAAAGACTCCAACGGACGGCCGTCCATACGAATTATCTCACATCCTTCCCCTGGGAAGGATGGGAAAATTGACACAGAGAAGTATGGATGGATCACCTCTGACAATCTGGGCATCCAAAAGAAAATCCCCATTTCAGAGTACTCTGCGAAGATTGGTTATGCTCTCCAGTCAGAGCCTCAGTCGCTGCAGGCTGAGCTTTCTATGAACTAGCAATATAAGGTGTCAACCTTAAAGCTACCTTCTATATCCCCCAAATGGATTCTCTTTTCCATCCATCTAATCCTCTCATCACTACAGACTAAAGTAGGTGGTCTTCAATGGCTGCATCTGCATTCCTGCGTCCCCACTGCTATGTGGTGTTCGGAGACAGGTATGGATATCACCACCATATGTGATGTATGCCCTCACCAGTCATTGGAAGATTGGTTGCATCTTTGGTGGGAATGTGTCATCGCCAGAGGTTTTGGGACTATCTCAACAAGTTAGCCAATGGTTAGCCAGGAGGGACCCTAGGTTCCTGGATATCAGGTCCTCCCTCCCCACTCTGTTGGCACAGTTCAAACAGCAGATGAGATTAGTCATTATGGCCGACTGGATCAGGATTAAAAATCAGGCTTCTTCCTAGGAATTGGCCGTAGTTCAGTTTTGGAAAAAATGGTCTTCCCCCTTGCAATGGGCAGGGATGTTCGAAGGCCAAAAGCTTCATTATTCAGATAGTCTTTGGGACCACTCTACCCCTGGGCCAACCGTCTTCCCCCAACATAACGCACCCTAAAAATGAATGTATACAAGCTATATTTCCGGCCAGGGGGAAGACCGTAGCTCCCATCATAGTTCAGACAGCTCTAGAAGCTGAGAGGGCTGACAGGTAGAAGCTACATGGTTAATTTGGAAGGTACTCAGGTTACTGGACCCGGTGTCCAGTTAGCAGAAGGTAAGCTCATAGATGTCTGCTTCGTCCGAGCTTAGCTCGTAAGCTAAACTGGATGATGCTGCCAGGATAACTCCGGGTCGAATTGTGAGGTCCCCGGCCTCGTCTCTGGATTTTGATAATAAATTGTCATGGAAAAAATAAAAATAAAAAAAATCCAATCCTCTTTGCTGGTGGGACGTTGCTCCCGGGGGCCAGGTCCCACTAGGGGCGTTGAGTTTCCTCAACGCCTGAATCTGGACGTGTCTGTGGATATGTGCAGAAATGGCGTTGAGTTTTGTCAACCGCACATCTCCACCGACAAGTCCAGCTTCAGGCGTTGAGGAGGAAACTCAAGGCTGCTAGTGGGACCTGGCCCCAGGGCCGTGGTCCCACAAGCAAAGGGCATAGGATAGAAATCCTGAATCTGGCTATGTTTTATGCAGAGATACAGAAAAGCAGTTCGATCTCGATTTCCTGCTCCTGTCCTCAAAACACATCCAGATTCAGGCATTCAATCCGATGCTCTTTGCTAATGGGACCACGGCCCGGGATGAGGAGAAGGCATAAAAAAGAAAAAAGAAAAAAGAAAAAAGAAAAAAGAAAAAAGAAAAAAGAAAAAAGAAAAAAAAAGAAGTAAACGTGCCCCATGAAGTGGGGTAATCACTAATATAATCAAAATTAAATATAATGTCCTCTTCTTCTGCGACGCTTGGTACCTCACAGGAGAAGCTATGGGCCACGCTGCACTACTCTCCACATGCACAAACGAAAAAAAACTATGGCAATGTATTTTTCCATGTTCTCGGAGGGAATTCAGTCTCATTTTGCACATTCGGCGCACTAGTGCGGCGAGGCCCTATGACTGTATGGGCCGCGTGCACCGGGGCCAAGTCCGCCTGAATGTGGACGGGTTTGTGGACACGTGCCGTTCGGGAAACTCAACACCATTTCTGCACATCTCCGCAAAAGCGTCCACATTCAGGCGTTGAGGTAGCTCAACGCTACTACCGGTAGTGGGACTTCGCCCCCGGTTCGAATACTTTGTGTGTGTGTTTTTTTCCATTTTTTTTCATTTTTTTGGGAAATCGAATACAAAATGCTAGCGGCTGAACGCACTCCTGTTCCTTTTTTTTTCCCAAGAAAAGATCGAAGGACAAGCATACCATCCGTCAGGTGAAAAGAGCACCTGTCGTGTCCTCCCTTCTCTTTCCCCCCGCCCCCTCCCCCTCCCCCTCCCCCCCCACCTTTGTCCCAGATTGTGAACTTGTTTACACTCATGACTCCACCACAGACAATTAGTAGGCAGCTGCACATGCAGCGGCTGAGGGCATACTTAGGGCATACTCAACCACGAGTCTTTTTCGCGAAATCGCGAAATCTTCTCTCTTTTCTCTTCTCTTCTCTTCTCTTGTCTTCTCTCCTATTTTCCTTCTCTTCTCTTCTCTTCTCTTCTCTTCTCTTGTCTTCTCTCCTATTTTCCTTCTCTTCTCTTCTCTTCTCTTCTCTTCTCTTCTTCTCGATCTCCGCCGAACCTCTCTCTCTCTCTCTTCTCTTCTCTTCTCTTCTCTTCTCTTCTCTTCTTGTCGATGGAAGAAGGGGATTTCAGTCTGTGCTAAAACATTCCTTCTTCTTCTTCTTCTTCTTCTTCTTCTTCTTCTTCTTTCTTTTTTGAAACCTCTCTTCTGATGTCCAAGGAGATGGAATTGATCTTCGATGGCAAGGATAATCCGTACTCTGCCAAAGTACGTCTGCAACGCTTCACGAGATCGAATCTGTGACCTCAGCCTCGAAGACGGCTACGGCTATGTCCATGGCTACGGCTACGGCTATGGCTATGGCTATGGCTATGACTATGGCTACGGCTATGGCTATGGCTATGGCTATGGCGTGATGATGGCGATGGACGACCTCCCCTTTCAAGTCCTGCATTAAGCAAGAGATTGCTCGCTCGCACAGCCCTGCAAGCTCGGCAACAACCCGTTTCAAGTCCTGGCAATGAGGATTATGCCTTTTGCTTTCTCTTCTGATGCTGTTCGTGATCGCATAGGCGATAAGTGAAATGGTACCAGGCTATGCTCTTCGAGTTCGTGGTACAGCTTACGTACCCAGTAGGCGATCCGCTGATCCTTGCTCACCTCACGCTCACGACAGCAAGACGGAACGGGATTGCGGATCGAAAACAGAAAGACGGATCTATTGAACTCGCCGAGTCCACACATGGGATGATGATCTTGTGTGCAAAGAGTGCATGACTACTAGAGTAGTACGTAACCTTTTTCTTCTCTTCCTGTCTACCTTCGCCGCTTCCTCGTATACTCAATCGACTAACTCTTCCTCACTGCAAGAGTTTTACGTCTGCGATCTTGTGACACTGTGTAGCAGTGAAGCTTCCGATGACAACGGTTGCCCTTGAGCAATGCACTGCTCTTCTTCATAACAGAGAACGCGAGGAGGCTTCGTCGCCAGCCTCCCCGTCGTATAACGATTCTTCTGGAGCCGATATGGCGACTGATCCTGCACCATTCCCTGCTCCTTCTCCTCCTCCTCCTGAGTCCTCTCCGACACAACCTCCCCTTGTTCGTCCTTCTCTCGGTGATGCCGACTCTCCTGCTTGCCGCGATGGGCTCCGTATCCATCCAATGAGCGAGACAGGGATCGGACTGCTGGAAGAGAATGATGACGACCTCGACCTCTGCTGCACTGACGTCGGTGCTCAGAAGAAGGGAACACCAACATCACCAACAACACCAACAACACCAACAACACCAACAACCACAGCAACGACAACGCCAAGCTTCTGTCCTGAGCTGCCCAAGTCAAGTCCGCTTATGCTGACCTCCAGCTTTGCCGTCGGGCTTCATTGCGATGGAATCCGAGTTCGTTTTGGCTGTTTCAGCACGGAGGTTCTCTGGCAGCTTCGCCTTGCAGCGCCGATCATGATGTGGAACGTGCTATGGCAGGCCCGGTTCTCCGTCGCGACCGCCTTCCTGGGATCCCTTGGGACTGTCACGCAGGCAGGGTGCGCAATGGCTCTGGTGCTCGCCAACCTGACCGGCTTTTGCATCCAAACTGGGGCCTCCGTCGGGATCGAGATTCTCTGCGGCAAGGCTTACGGAGAGTGAAACTTCCTTGCACTCTCCTTGACCCTTCAGCGTGGATTGCTCATCCTCTTGGCGCTGGGCCTGCTGACCACTGCTTGCTGGTTTGCCGTCCCTCCCCTTCTCCTCGCCATAGGCCAAGATCCCGACATCGTCTCGGAAGCCGGCAGTTTCCTGCCTTTGCTCCTTCCAGATCTTGCCGCCTGCGCTGGGGTCAATGCCTTGGGAGCCTTCCTTCGCGCCCAGTCCATCATCGGGCCCATCGTCATCGCCACGGGACTGGCACTGGGACTGCAGTGGGGTGCCAGCTGGGTCCTGGTGGAGGTCTTGGATAAAGGACCGACGGGTGTGGCGCTCGCGCTCTTCCTCTCCGATCTTGTCCTCCTCCTCTGCCTCGTCTTCGCCATCGCCGTCTTCTACAATGCGACATGGACTGGCTTCTCCCGGCACTGCTTCTTCAACCTCCGGCCTCTCGTGTCTCTCTCCCTTGTGTCCTGTTTTGCCATAGCTCTGGAGTGGTGGTGCTACGAGGTGATGACCATCCTCGCCGGTCTTCTTCCCCATAAGGCCGTCAACGTGGCCGCCATGGCCATAGCTTCCAACCTCTCCTACCTCTACTTCACTCTGGTGTACAGCTTGGTGGAGACGGCCAGCATTCGGATCACCAACGAGCTGGGCTCGAAGCGCGCAAGAGTCGCGCGCAGGTCCGCCCATGTCGGGGCAGCGCTTATGGCAGTAGGAGGAGTGGTGGGGCTTTCGCTGATGCTTGCCCTCAGGGGCAAATGGGCTCCTCTGTTTAGCGACGATAGTGAGGTCATTCGCGCTGTGGATCTCATGCTGCCTTTCGTGGGATTAGCCACCTTGTTTGAGGGGCCTGCAACCATGGCTGCCGCCATCTTGCGGTGCACAGGGTGGCACTCGGTTCCTGCCGTCGTGATACCCATTGCATTTTACTTTGTAGGGCTGCCTCTAGGGGTCTGCTTGGGCTTTCTTACCCCTTTACGAATAAAAGGTCTCTGGATAGGCTTGATCACTGCTCAGTCCATCTGGTTAGTTGCGCTTGGTACTTTCGATGTGCTTTTCGTCCGGTGGACAAGCGCCGCCGCTCCTCCTGCCGCCTGTGCCACGGGGCAACCGCTTAAAGATACCTGCGAGATGGAAATCGTCCTCGATCATTACGCAAAAGAAATCGACAAAACACGAGGACGACGGAGAGGAGCTCCTTTGAGCTAACGCTGTCCGGCCTTGGCGTATTAGATGCAGTTGAAGCCAAACGAGCATCCGGTGTGCTGAAGGATATTTATGTATATACACATTTATATATATCGTCAAATAGTGGTTCAGCCTCCTGATGAGTCCCTCCCTCTCTGCCCCTACGGTTTACCGGGCAGGGGCAAAACGAAGTGCATACCAGTGATACCACACACAAAGCAGATGTACACAGTCATTCGAAAGAGAGTGGACATCCCGCATTGCGGGTGTCTTTTTTTTTTTTTTTTTTTTTTCCCTTGGGAATGGCATTGCGGGTCTTTGCTGCTGTTTGTCTACTCTTTCGAGATGGTTTTTTTGTTTTGTTTTTTTTGTTTTTGTTTTTTTTCATCTTGGGAATGGCATTGCGGGTCTTCGCTGCTGTTTGTCTACTCTTTCGAGATGGGTTTTTTTTTTTTTTTTTTTTTTTTTTTTCACCTTGGGAATGGCTTTGCGGGTCTTGGCTGCTGTTTGTCTACTCTTTTTCGAGTTTTCGAGTGACTGTGTACATCTGCTTTGTGTGTGGTGTGCACTTCGTTTTGCCCCTTATGCTGAGACCACCGTTTTTTTTTACTTCTTTTTTCTTCTTCGTTTTTTGCCTTTCTGTTCAATTTGAAACGGTGTCGAGGGCCAAGTCCGACTTTTCTGGCCGGATTCTTTCTTCATTTCTGGCCGTTGATCTTTAGAATAGACGATCAGAAAAATTCAAGGGTTCGGACATTGTCAAGTGGGACTTGGCCCCGGGTGTCAACATCCATCCACTAGAACGGGGGCGATGGTAGCACCCATCCACTAGAACGGGGGCGATGGTAGCACCCATGAGTACTTCTTAGGACACCATATCCCACCATCATCACCACTTTTTCTTTTTCGGCTTTGATAGGGGTTCAAAGTTCAAACCATCCACGCTACAGAGGGTCACTGCTCCCAGGGGGACGAATCTGGTCCCTTTTTTTTTTTTTTTTTTTTTTTTTGTAAACGATTCTGCTCTTTCCACCTCCCGGGCCTCGGTCCCACCAGCGCGTTTTCGTGGTAGTTGGCTACCACGGTGCCGGAGATGGCACATGGGTGGACCTGTCACCTGCGGGCTACCCTTGCGCGCTTCGAGCCCAGCTCGTTGCTGATGCGAATGCTGGCCGTCTCCACCAAGCTGTACACCAGAGTGAAGTAGAGGTAGGAGAGGTAGGAGAGGTTGGAAGCTATGGCCATGGCGGCCACGTTGACGGGCTTATCAGGAAGAAGACCGGCGAGGATGGTCATCACCTCGTAGCACCACCACTCCACAGCTATGGCCAAACAGGACATAAGAGAGAGAGAGAGAGAGAGAGAGAGAGAGAGAGAGAGCAGACGCCGGAGGTTGGAAATCCCACGGGCCACGGTGTTGGGTAGCCGAAAGCCGGACTGCGGGAATGCATGTGGCATGGGAAAGCACGAGTGCGGATCTATCGTGGGGGGGCGACTTTTTCAGTGCTACCGTGGTAGGTAGGTACTGTTTCATTTGTGGAGCTGTGGAGCAGGAGGGAGGGTATAACGATTTTGTTTTTATTTATTTATTTTAATAATTTGGACCATTTCTCGATTTATGCATGTCATCCTTGCGCAGGTGTGCTGTCCTCTTGTCCCCATTGATCACAATATGGGGTCCACTGGGGGATACGCTGGTGTGCTGTCCTCTTGTCTATCGTCAAGGTATGCAGAAACTCTTTACAGAGAATATGGCTTTTTCACTGGTTCAGTCAGATGAACAGGTGCTGTTGAAGGCGTGTGCAGTCCGGTATCAGGCTCAGGGCTTGCAAAAGGTGAGCAAGTGGAAGAAAACGGGTACTCTTGGGAGAGCGTATTGTATTCCGAAGCATAAGGATACTTCTAGGTGGAGGCCGATCTGCCCATCATATCCTGAGTGTTCCGCGAAGGGAGGGGAGATTATTTCCAAGGCGGTTAATTGTTTGTTGTGGAGCCTGCCAATTGAATCGAACTTGAATTTGTGAAGTGCTGATGAGCTGCTTAAGAGGGTCAGAATGATCAATGGAAGTTTGAAAGAAGGAGATTGTCTGAGATGTTATCAAATCTTCCCCATCCGTCGGTTATTGATGCTCTGTTGTGGGCGATTGACTTCTGGACTGATAAAGGGGTTCGAGGTATTGCGGTGAAGAAGCAGGGGAAAGATCCTAAGTTACTGCGGGGTAAGATTGAGCTAGGTTGGTTATCTGTTCCCTTGGAGACTGTTCTTGCCTTCGTGAAATTTGAATTGGAACATACCTTTGTCTCGACGTCTGGAGTAATTCTTCGGCAGACCTTGGGAATCCCGATGGGAAAGTCTTCTAGTCCAGCCCTTGCCTGCTTGTTTTGCTCTTATAATGAGTTCGTTTTCTTGACTAGCCTTGGTGTAGATAGGAAGTTCTTTCAAGGCTTTCGTTTGGTCGATGATGTGTCCATATTTGTGATAATCAAGAAGAAAGGTGGGGTTGAGAAGGATAGAGCGGAGCAGATGATCCGGCTATTCGAGGGTTGCTATGACAAGAACCTCGTTCTTGAGAAGACGAACGAAGGGATTCTATGGTCGTACCTGGGATGCATTTTGGGTGCCCGGCGAGATGATTCTGGAATTGTGTGCTGTCCCACCATCAAGAACCTGTTGAGCGGAGGGGGTGATGATTTGGTTTTTCAGAGCATACAGGATTTCTCATCTTACTCTAATAGTCAGCAAAAGTCCGTTGTTATCTGCTCCTTTCTGTATCGTGCGAAGATGTACTCTACCAATGATGAGTTGGCTTTTCCTCTCCTTGTGTCCCTCAAGTATGAGTTGTGGAAGCGTGATTATCCGGATGAATTGTTTGATAGAGCCTTGCTGCATTTCTCAAAGAAGCATGGGGGTTTGTGGAAGAGGTGGCTGCCGCTGCTGACCAGGTGGGATCGTTTTTCAAGATGAGGGTTTTTTCTGTTCTCGGTTTGTGAGAAATTGAACAGGGGTGTGTTTGCCTTCCTTTCGTTTTAGAAGGGTATGTGTGCGCAAGTGTTGTTGACCATTTCGGTAGGCTCGGATTGTTTAGAATAATGCGATGATGGTTCTCAGGCATAATATTAACATTCAGGGTTGGAAATGTGTTTTAGGGGGTTAATGATGAAGCTGGATGTCTTTTGGAAGTGGCAAGTGTGATGAGGTTTCGAACTCGGGCCCGCTTTATGGAGCGTCAGTGAGAGGTGTGATATGTGAAGTGCGATTGTTGGTTCGGGTAAGGCGCGGGGTAGGATTTGAACCCAAGACGTATGGATAGCAGGTTTTGAGTTGAGTGATGGTCGGTGTGAACGGGGTGAGGTTTCGAGCCAGGAGTTGTTTTTTTGTGAAGTGAGGTGTGACCCGTTGTTGTTATTTTTCCGGGATAAGTGTGTGGTAAGACTTGAACGCATAATGGATTATTAGCTTTTTGAAGTGTAATAACGATCAGAGACTTAGGTGTCGTTTGAATGAAGTTTGAACTCGGGCTTGGTGCCTGATAGAGTGTGTTTCATTTTCGAGGTTGACGGTTCGAGGGGTACCTTGGCGTCGAAATTTGAGCAAATAATGGTATTGTGGCCCTTCGGATCAATGTTTAAGATGAATCTTCTGTCTAGTGTCTATGTTCCGGTCCAGTTACGGTAATGTTTGTAGATTCCTTAACGGTTAGGTCCATTAGTTCCGGTGGCGATAGCGGAGGGCAACGAGCTAGGGAGGTTGGAAGAAAGGCTGATTAGACGATGGTGTCTCGTGCTGAATGTGAATGGATCGAGGGATGGATGGAAAAAACAGAAAGAAGAAGAATAGGAGAGGAAGAAGGGAGAGGAAGAAGAAGAGGAGGATGTTCTTTAAGAAAGAGAAGGTGTTGCGTTTTCAGACCAAAGAAAGGTCGGGCAAAGGGAAGCTGACTGCGGTTATTCGTTCGATCAAAGGGAAACGTGAAAGGACTGTGACTTCAGGCGGAGGAGGAATTTGGATCGCACGTTTTGTCTCGTGCCTCTATCGTATTAGCGCTCGTGAGGTCGCCGACATCGTCTTCGACCGAGTCGTGAGACATCACGGCTTACCTCAGAGCATCATCTCCGACCGTGACCCGCGCTTTACCAGCACATTCTGGCCACGCCTACACGAGGTGTACGGATCCCAGCTCCGCTTCTCATCATCTTACCACCCTCAAACGGATGGTCAGACTGAGGTCACCAATAAAACTCTCGGTAATATCCTTCGAAAGTTTGTTGGGGATGACCAGCAGTGAGACTTACACGTAGCCCACGCGGAGATTGCGTACAAGTCGGTACAACCACGTTGTTTTGCCACCCACGGGGATATTGCCATTTTATTGCGACCTCGGCTACCACCCTCGCGTACCCGCGAACTTCCTCCAACCATCGCGGTTGCGCCTAGACACTCGTTGTCATGTGCTTCACGACTGGATCGCCCACATGGCGGCGATTATTATGAAGCGCGCACACGAGAGTCTAGCCGATTCCCAGACTCACATGGTCGCACGAGAAAACCGATCACGAATGGATCATCCATTCAAAGTCAGTGACGATGTGCTCGTCGACGTACACCACTTACAACTCGAAGTGGATACGCTTTGCAAGTTCAGGCGTCGTTTCTTCGGTTCATGCCGCATCCTTCAGGCCGTCGGTTCGAATACTACCACTAGTCCGGTCAGCTTCCGTGTGAAGCTGCATGATTACCTTCGACAGGCTCGCGTACACGATGTTTACCACGTCTCCTTACTGCGTCCTTATCGCAGACCATCCAAGCGCTTCGTCGGACGTCCTTATGAGCACCCTCCACCTATCATGGTGGATGGTCACGAAGAGTTCGTTGTTTCCGACATCGTATCTCGCCGAGTTACCGACGACACCCCTCCACGTATCGAGTACCTTGTGCGTTGAAACTTGAAAGGACTATCCTGATGAGGAGGCTACTTGGGAGCCCCTCGAGCACATAGAGCACGCTCTGATGTTCGTGCGTGCATATGATCGTGCTCGTCGTGCTGAGACATCTGCTCCTACTCAGTTGACTGACCCTCTTCCTCCTCCTCCAGCTGAGGAGATTGCTGAGGACGAGCCCACTCCCTCTGAGGTCGTTCTTCAGCAGCAGATGGACGCCTTCGCGCGTCCACAACGCACTCGTCGACGTCCTCGGCGTCTTGACAATTAACACTCTGATCACCTACTATCACCCTACTGACTCACACCATCAGGTACTCCACCATCAGCTTCTTCAGGATGTCAGCGTTTTGAGGCTATGCTTCGACATCGACCTCGACTCCTACTTCATCGACGTCATCGACCACTTCGACGACTTCAGTCACCTTCTCGACTTCAGCCATCTTATCGGCTTCAACTACTTTGGACGTGACTACTTCACGCCACCACCCTACCCTGTACATTCCCTTGCATCTATCGCATAATGGTTGTCACTTAGCTGGGTCTCTTTGAGTTGACTCTCCCTTGGTATCGCATAGGCATTGGGACCATCGCGTTATCTTGGCTTCCTTGCTCCCAGATCTAGCTCCCTTCTCATTCAGTCGGTGAGTTGTGTGCATGTTTCCCTCACCCACTGCCTTCATCACCCTAGTGTCGTCCCTTGCATGCCTTCAGTTAGGCATATCTCCACCCTATTCCAGGTTCCCCCTTTTCATGGTCGATCCTGCATGGTGTCATCCTTTTGTCGATCATTACCCACCCCGATGGTTTATTTGTTAGGGTCCTTGGTTTTGTTTTGCAACCACTGTCCCACCTTGAGCCTGATGACCTTTCCCACCTTCATGTGTAACTGCCCTTAGGAGTTTCGATTCTTAGGCTGCATTCATCCCCTTTAAGACCATCCCACTCTTAGTGATTTAGTGACATGACATTATTTTGTGACATATTGCTCTTTTTCCTTTCAGCACTGAGGTTATTGCCTCCAGGACTTTAGGATTGTATATTGCTACATTTCATGTTCTGTTGTTAGCTAGGATGTGTATACCAGACATTTGAGTTTCATTTGACATTATGTAGCTTAGGCTGCATCGCATGGACTCCGCATCCTAGATTTCTTTGCTTTCTTTTTATTGCAGAGTTGAAAGTTCCGCTGCTTTTGCGGATAGCGTGTTTATGGCTCTTGCGATCCATTACAGGTATGAGGATTGTGCAGCGGGCTTCCATCGGCCGTGGCCTACAGCCAGGGCCTATTCAGCTATTTACCAGTTCGGCCTGTGGGACCAGGCCGTGGCCTGACCCCACAGGCCGTGTACTGTTTCTGTCCAGTCCATTCCTGCCCGGTACCACTGTCGGTATCAGGCCAGTCCAGTCCACTCTAGTCAATGCGCTGGGGGTATACCCCAGTTGCAGTCTGTATTTCGCCATTCTTCATTTTGCACTTGCTGGAGTATGTGGCAACGTGCGGTGTTGAGTCTGCGTCAGAGCTGCGTTGTCCCTTCCTGCTCCATCTCCACTTCGTCCTTCCTGAACCCCTTCTTCTCCATCCTGTCGGGCAGCCATCCCAGCAGGTCCGGCACAACCGCTAGAACATGGAAATATACACTGCCACACTTGTTTTCGCATGTGTATGTGTGTGTGTGTGTATTCGCGGGGAGGAGGCGACCCCCCCACAGCAAATTAATCAATCAATCAACATAAGGAAAAAAAAAACGAAAAAAGGGGCATTTTGCCACGCGGGTGCGTGTGTGTGTTTGTGTGTGTGTGTGTGTGTGTGTGTGTGTGTGTGTGTGTGTGTGTGTGTGTGTGTG